GTTATCGGGAGATCCGAGACGCTCGAGAATTTGACGATTATGAGTTTCATTTGAACGTGATGTTTGCAGAGGAGGACGAAGAGTGGGTCAGAGATCGCTTCCGTCCAGTCTTAGAAGAACTGCTTCCGGAATACGAGAGGAATCTCTACGGTGATGATGACCTTCCGTTAGGTATGCATTACTATGATGCAGTTCATTACGTCGTTGAGAAGAGCTACAAGACCATCGTGTTGGTCAGTAGGGCTGCTATCCAGGATAACTGGTTCATCATCAAGTTTCGAACCGCTGCGGATCAGGTCAATGACACACAAATAGAGAACATGGTGGTGATCTTCCTGGAGGACATTCCAGACGATGAGCTTCCATTCTTGGTGAGGCTATACCTGAGTGATCGTAAGCCGTACCTCAGCTGGGAGGCGGAGGAGGGGTTTCAAGAGTACTTCTGGCAAAAACTGACCAAGATGTTGAAGATAAATCTGCGATGCAACAATGTCATCCCTCCCGAGTAACAGCTTTAAAATACAGTTTTCAATACGCATTTCCTTCGAATATAGCGGATGATTTCCTTTTCCAAAATGAAAATGAGTTAATGTCCGTGGCTTCGGTCTACATACTGCAAAACCGTACCGTCACTTTCAACTCCACACGGATGGGTCTTGAGCGACGGTATATGGCACCGTGATGACAGCCAGAAGAATCTAGTGGTTTAAAATTCAGTTAGAGTGTGTAGTGTGTTCAGGCGCGGATCCATGGGGCCGAGCGGGCCCCCTGCCCCCCCCCCCCCCCCCCTGCCCCCCCCCCAAAAAAAGACAGCCCCTTCCCCTGGAGAAAAAGTTTTTTTTAAAAGTCGTGACCATGAATTTACCTTTTTTTTGCTCAAAGGAGGGGGGGGGTGTTGAGTAAAAATAAAAGGCGCTCACTATGCCACCCTCCCCCCTCGCAGCACACTATTTATTTCAAATTTGGGCCTCCCCCTAAGAAATCCTGGATCCGCGCCTGAGTGTGTTTGGAGTGATGAACCCCATATATTTTTTTAATACCTTTGTCCAAAAATCGTGATTCTGCTTATCCCAGTATTTGCAGAGCTATACTATAAAAACGATGCATTAATCTGACCGTTTGGCCGTTGCATTGAATCAATCAATACATAATGTTGAATGTCAAATTCTTCCAGCATGTCAGAACTTAGAGACATGAAATCGCAGAATCGCATGATGACACCTATCTTATTAGGTCTGTAAGGTTTTTTTCTTCAGTATTTGTCAAAAATTTGAGTTTTTTATGCATCGGTTAGAGAACTGCAATTATCACTCTTTTGTTGTGTATTTATGTTCTTTTAATTGATCGTGTTTTGGTGAAAGAAGATTGTTTTTAGGGCATCTGCGGTGACGCATTTTGTAGATTTTTTTAATCAATTTATAAGTTGTTATTGCGGTACAATATGCTGTATGAACACCATTGTATTATAATGATGAATATGTAATCATGTAACAATCATATAGCGAATCGTGTAGTAATGGTGCAATCACTCTGTAATAATACACATGTAATAATGATCTTCAATACCAGTTAAATCCATTAAGTCAGTCATGTACATAACTTTCCTCCCTTGTTTGCATTTAATCATTGTATACTGAGTATCAGGACAACGCGAAAGTAAAGATAAAAGTGAAAGTGTAAATAGTTGTCTGTGAATGTTGCACTATAAAATTGAGTCGAAATTTAGAGGTTAGCAAAAACATTCCCAATCTCTTTCACTCTATATGGGTTATTGATTAACTATTAATATTCTAAGAATATGATATAGTCGTCATACCCACACAGGGAATATTTATAATTTGTCTACATCGTATTGTAATTTCAAGGAAACTCCGATTCAGCCATGCACAAAGAAGACGAAATATACTTGATGCATGGCTGATCGTCAACGAAACGGAGTTAAGTCTTTTGTCAACTCTGTTTGTTGCTATGGCAGGCAGCCAGTGAAAACGAACTCGCTTAATAAAATTATGTAAATACAAGCATTACTTTAAACAAACAGATGTTGTTATTCCTGGCTCATTTTGCCTGATTGAGGTGTCATATGAAAGGGCAGAAATTGAACTTTCTAGAAATGTAATTTTCTCTTTGAAATTCAGATACCGCCCGCCAAATGACTTTTTGGTTTCCTCTCTTCAAATTGTTTTAACTCACTCATGCGTGAAATATACATCGTATGAGTTGCATCAAATAAAAGAGGAGGATATAAGCTTTACAAATATGTGGCATGTATTAATTATTATTGTGATTAAGTCATTATAAAACATAGATAATGCTCGGTTTCGTTTTTTCTGGAACGCACTGTAAATATATAATGGTAATGTTTAATTAATAATATAAAAGTGATTTGCACATGATTTAAATACACGACAGTTATGAATGCCATCATATTTTTCAATCATTTCGTTTAAATTCATGCTAACAATATTATATCTGTTCTATTATCATACGGAGGACTGATCTCGGTGAACATGTTATATTATATTTTGAAAATGGTTCATGATGACTAAAAGAAATTACATCTCTGTGAATCTGCTACCAAGTAATTTTTTTCAGTTATTCAACAACTATACTGTTGACATAGGGAAATGAGATATATCATCAATGTTTGTCTATAATCAAGAGAAGTACGTTATACTAAATTTGTAAACATGTTGGCTCATGTAAAAAAAAAAATTCACTAAATCTATTCATCGATATATGATGTCTAAAGCTACAGTCCCATATACGTCCCGGACCGTCCCGGACCATCCCGGACCCCATCCGGGGTGATCCGGGATTCGGTCCGTGTTGACACCGTGTTGGCACCGGGGTGGTCCTGGATGGTCCTGGATGGTCCTGGATGGTCCTGGATGGTCCTGGGCGGTCCGGGAGTCGACCCCGGATGTTTTTGACGGTCAAAAACTGCCGGGGTGGTCCGGGACGGTCCGGGACAATAGTTTGATCCGGGGTGATCCGTGTAGCCACCGTGCTGGGTCCGGGGTCATCCGTAGTGGCGCCGGGGCGGTCCGTGTTGATCCGTGGCAGTCCGGGAGTGAGTTATTGACCGCCCAGGACCATCCAGGACCATCCAGGACCATCCAGGACCACCCCGGTGCCAACACGGTGTCAACACGGACCGAATCCCGGATCACCCCGGATGGGGTCCGGGATGGTCCGGGACGGTCCGGGACGTATATGGGACTGTAGCTTTTAAAGCATCACACTTTTTTGAACAAAACATCCCGGACCATCCCGGATCACCCCAGACCATGGTCCGGGATGGTCCGGAGTGGTCCGTGCTCGTCCGTGCTGGTCCGGCTTTATATGGGACTGGGGCTAGTCCCATATAAAGCCGGACCAGCACGGACGAGCACGGACCACTCCGGACCATCCCGGACCATGGTCTGGGGTGATCCGGGATGGTCCGGGATGTTTTGTTCAAAAAAGTGAGATGCTTTAAAAGCTACAGTCCCATATACGTCCCGGACCGTCCCGGACCATCCCGGACCCCATCCGGGGTGATCCGGGATTCGGTCCGTGTTGACACCGTGTTGGCACCGGGGTGGTCCTGGATGGTCCTGGATGGTCCTGGATGGTCCTGGATGGTCCTGGGCGGTCAATAACTCACTCCCGGACTGCCACGGATCAACACGGACCGCCCCGGCGCCACTACGGATGACCCCGGACCCAGCACGGTGGCTACACGGATCACCCCGGATCAAACTATTGTCCCGGACCGTCCCGGACCACCCCGGCAGTTTTTGACCGTCAAAAACATCCGGGGTCGACTCCCGGACCGCCCAGGACCATCCAGGACCATCCAGGACCATCCAGGACCATCCAGGACCACCCCGGTGCCAACACGGTGTCAACACGGACCGAATCCCGGATCACCCCGGATGGGGTCCGGGATGGTCCGGGACGGTCCGGGACGTATATGGGACTGTAGCTTTACGTAGCCTTTGAATGCACAGAGGATTGCTAAAATTGAAAACCCTGTTTATCTGTATTGTGGTACGCTCTACATATAGGCGAACTTCATTCCTTGTAGTTTGTGCACTCGCTTTATCATTGATTGTATATCGCATAATCCAGCAAAACTACTTGATGTAATCATGATGATAATAAAAATAATAACCCTTCAATAAATCACAATGATTTGCATGATCCCTCTATGTTATCCGTATTATATAATTACGTATAAGAGAAAATAAACTATAATATTTCGAATAACTGTAAGATGAAACAAATCGAACGTCGTTGCTGTTAGATAGACTGGCAAATATCATAAAGGAAACTATTGCTCGAATGCTGCCCTATTTTCCCCTGTAGCACAGAACGTGTGTTGTATGAGTTTGCAAGCATAATGACCAGGATAACACAACATAATGTATGTAGTTTTTACTCTGTTACTTGTCATTTGATAAAAGCACAATTCCTGAAAATCTGCATGCAAATTGTATGCGATTATCATTCACTACCGTCACTTCGTGAAAATAGGGACGAATTGTTTTAATGTTTTCTAGAGTTAATGGTAAGGGTAATGATGATGATGATGTTGATGAAGATGATGATGATAATGATGATGATGATGATGATGATAATAATGATAATAATGATGATGATGACGATAATAATAATAATAACAATAATAATAACGATTATGTAGTTGTAAAAATAATGGTGATGCTGATGATGATGATGATGTTGATGATGATGATGATAATAATGATAATAATGATGATGATGATGATGATGATAATAATAACAATAATAATAACGATTATGTAGTTGTAAAAATAATGGTGATGATGATGATGATGGTGATGATGATGATGATGATGGTGATGATGATGATGATGATGATGATGTTGATGATGATGGTGATGATGATGATAATAGTGATAATAATGATGATGATGACGATGATAATGATGATAATGATAATAATGGTAATTTTTTTTTTAAATGATAATAACCTGTCCAATCTTAAGCAGCAGTCCCGACCGCCATTGATGCTGGTATGAGGTTTGCCTGACTCTTGATCGGCAGTAAGCAAGAAGCTGTGCCACTAGACCAGGAGGGGTGCCAAGTTGAAAGCGATACCGCCATCCCAGCTGAACATCACCACGGAAAGGCTTCGGCGTCCAATTCAGTGTCTGACAAAGAGACGATATATTCTTAGGTTTCATTTTCGATTTACAGTACATGTTAATTGCAATAAGGCATATTATATTCGTACTTGTGCATTTTAGTGATAATACTTTAAGAGAACGAACACATAACAGGCAAATGTTATAAAGGCAATTATGCACACGAGAAATCATGCATTTTCAAATTTTTCTTTCAGGTATAAAAACATTACAGAATATAAGGAAACACGAGCTTCTAACATACTAAAGGTACTAAATCTGGCAAAAAGTATTCTGAATCACAAATATTTATTTCGGGTGCTTATACTTTTAAGGTTATACTTTTAACTACCGATAATGATTATTGTCTCACAAAAAAAACGTTAATGAGGTTTATCAAAGACGCAAAAGGTTATGTCTCACCTATTAAAGGTAAAGACCAGTTTTGGAAATGCCCCCCCCCCCAAAAAAAAAAAAACAACAACAACAACAAACAAACAAATGAAATGGAAGCTCTTATTACCAATCATGTGAACGAATATGTTTTGACTAATACGTGATGATACAAATTTTGCCTAGAAACCGCCTACTAATCGATGTATTTGGTAAATTATTATATCTATTTGGACCTGACACTAAAACTTATATGCTAGATGATCAACCTTTTCTGATCGATTCCACAACGTTTCTTTCACAATGCAACCGCATGACCATAACTGGTCTTTTACTTTAAACAGCTTGTTAGCTATAAGAATGCCTACCGGTCCGTTCTGCGGCATGAATCCCAGCAAGGGGAGATGATAGATGAGTTTAGTAGACAAGGATCTGTAGCTAGGGAGCTCCAGACACGAGAACTGATCATCAGAAGATTCCTTGGTGTCTTTGAGAAGTACACCGAGCTTGGTCAGGAGGTCTATCAGATGTAGAACCTGAGATTCATCCAGCTGAAGAGACTATGGGAAGGCAAGGGATGTTGCATTTTCTTGTCAATGCGCTTTGATTTGGCATTCATAAACTTAGAGAGAAGTAACATTCACTTAATTCATGAATCACACATACCATGCAAGTATATATATATATGAGGTTCAAAAAAATGAGTATGAATGTGTCGTCTAATTGGAGCCGGAAGGGCACTAACAAATTATCTTAACAAAGATGTTAATACCCCTCTGGCTCTGATAACATTCACATAAGGGTAGACGCGACTGAGCAAAGAATTACCATCAAACAAGTTCAGTTCTTTTCCCAAGCTAAAAAGACAACTTACATAATATTAAGTATCTACAATTAAATTCTTATTCGAATATAATTTTAACAAATCTAGGCTGCTGATAGCCCGGTGTCAGTTGTCTTTGGGATACCGGTAGTTGCCCGGGGATGTTTCAGTGTAAATTTTGGGTTAGGGATAATTGCACATAGGGTGTTTGTCAGGAGGACAGTGGTGGTTGTATAAATGGTATTCATCCTCATACTAATGCCATCAGAGAGGTGGGTCAAGTTACCTGACAAAGAAGTGGAAGAATGCATTCTATAACTCGTCCTTGCGTGGCAACCTCTTCCAGCGCCTTGACCAGAACCGATGGTGCTGGTTTCTTGGTGGTAGCGGCCTTGGGCCAGAATCTCTTACTCTCAAAGCGGAAATCTTTGGTACTGGTATCCAGATGGACTGCGTGTAACGCGAGGGCCATCGATGTAGGGTCAACACAGATGATGTCGGAGCTGTACGCTGATCCTCGGGCGGTCGGGAAGGCGAAGGGGAAGATCGCACCCTTTTATAGAAGATCATGGAGAATGAAAGGATTGATTTCCAACATGCATTACCTGTTAACATCATATGCAATCGCATCTAATCATTGTCAATTAATTTGTAAATTTTGTAACAAAAATACTTTCCTCAAGGGGTTAAAAAGTTTGAAATGTTGATATTATATTGCTTAACAAAGCAAACAATATCCAAATTTTGTTAGCAAAATATGAATACCCTGTTCAGTTTCTGATCAATTACCCTTTTTGATGATTGCAATGGTTGTAAATTAGATTGGAGCAGCTCTAAATACCTGAGACACAGTGTATAATGTATTCTTCGTAAGTTTAGCTAATCAGTTTGACATCTTGACTTAAAATTCAATTGAATGTCCTCTAAGCGGATGACTAAGCCATAGAAATTCAATAAATGCATATCCCTGACTTCCGAAATATCTAACGCAGAATTCGTTAGCAAAATGGCTTACCGCGTCCTGCAGGAACTGAACATCGTCTTTCATGCCTTCCGTTGATGAAGGGACGCCATTTTGTTTGAAGATGGCGTCGAGATCATGCTTTGGCACCAGGAGGACATTTTTCTTCCTGAGGGTAAGGATCTCCTCGAAGACCTTGGTGGTCTCTGGTCTGACTTCGTAGCGAAGATGTGGAAAGCTCTTCTTGTCTAGGATCGTACTGAGGATCGCCTTCGTAGCCTCCTCCAGGCCCTGTAGCACATGTATCATTGATATACAAAAATTAATATCATGGCAAAGGTTCCTACATTCACGATTATTATTAAACATGCCCTTTACCCAGCCTTATCCTCGAAGGTTATCATTGATGGGCCAAAAAGTTGACAAATGTATGAGGAAAATGCAACTAAACAGTCCAATTTTGGAATGTTATTGAATTTAATATAGACTTCTTTTTGTTTAGTTCCTCGTGACGAACTATTTCATTAACCCGTTATGACAATTTCCAGAATGTTCTGTATGGTTTTGATACACGTTTAGCTAGCGACGTGATGTTTATTTTATTTTTTTTATTGAAATATATTTATTCAGGATAACAAGAATCAGATATACATTGTAGATACAAAATCTGTTTTACATCATGGTCCTGAACAGGATAAAAATGTAGTAGACGGAAATATATATAATGAAAATCACCAAAGCTCACAAGCAAAGGTAAGAACAGTATAACACTAACATATAAGCATAATACGCATTAAAAGTTGTAAAAAGCACAAAAACAAAAAACAAAAACGACAATGTATAATTGAAATTAACAGCGAAAAAAACATCAAATCACTTTAATAAAAGGCATTAAAATATAACCCCCCAAAAAGAAGAGGAGAAATGATATAAGAAAACTGGTAAAAAGTAAAGGAGGAAAAAGGGAAAGAAAGAAAGAGGGGAGAGGGAAATGGAGAGAGAGAAAGAGAGAGAGAGAGAGAGAGAGAGAAATAGAGAGAGAAAGAGAGAGAGAGAGAGAGAAATAAGCCATGTCAAAGCAGTAAATGAATCGGCATTGTATCACACAGGTTTAAAAAATTTGTCCAAGTACATACGTTTAAAAACATCGATAGATTTAGCATTTTGAAAAGCAGAAGGTAAACTATTCCAGATTTTACATTCACATGTTAAAAATGATTGTTATAGTCAGAATACAGTACACTGCATATACCACATGTCATTAGGTAGAGGAAGCCATAATGTTTGTCCGGCCTAGCAATAATAGGCCATATTCGTAATGTAACCATATGTTACAACAGAAGTGCCTCAACACGAACTGTTTCATTCAGCTGTCACTTGTAACGCAATAATCAGAATGCAAATTACAGTACATTAGTTTTTGCTAGGTAGAAAAACCAGTATGGCTTGCCCGACCTAACAAGTCGGAATACATGCACTTTGCACTCTGATGTTTGGGATGCAACGATACAAGACATTTCTTCGGCAAACGTGTATAAATTTGAGAACACTGTGAAAATTGTATGTTAGGAAATTCCACCAAAGAGCTAAGGCGTTCGTTAATCAAAATACATTCACAGTAATAATCATGATAGATGTAGGAGTATTGAAAGCCCGGGGCAGAGAATGTGCTCGTCTGCCTACTTGTTAACAAGGAAATACGTGAGAGAAAAATATTATATAATACTGACGATGACATTCATTTTCTTTGGATGGTTTTGCTTTCAATTACGTCACAATTACGTCACAATTACGTCACAATGACGACATGGGGCCGGGGTACTTGATCCTACAACCGAAGTCGTAGCGGTGAATAATGAGAACAGAGAGATTAACACAAAAACACGTCTCGCAAAAGGCCGAATACCTTGGGCATTTTATTCATTTGTTGCTTTTTATATGTATCAAAATTCATCCAATGCCAAAATATTACGTAACACATTTTAACAAGGTTTATTTCCTGCATTGATCATGTTTTGCTTTCAACTAATTAATTTGCCACGGCTCCGCTTTTTGCTTTCGAGATAATTCAATTTTTTCCCACCTTTAGGGGACAATTATGATTACGGAGACCTCGGAAATTGTCATGGAAACAAACTACTAGTATATCAAAGAAAACTCTTCATAAAGCATGTAGTACCTTTTTATTCATCAAGTCGCATTTAAGATAATTTCTTTGTGTTGGATGTGAAAGAGAGAACATGTTCTACATTTTATATTATCAAACGCTAGCATGTGAAATAAATTTGCAATCTTTTAGTCAATATATATAAATCAATAACTCTTAATCATAAGATATTAAGAAATGAAAGATCTGGCAAGGATGTTAGTAGTCTTAAAATAATAACTTCGTCTGAAAAGATATTAAGAAATGAAAGATCTGCCAAGGAGTTTAGTAGTCTTAAAATAATAATTGCGTCTTTAAAAAGTTGTATCATACCTTGGAAGTGAGGGTACTGACAGTGATTAGCTGTGGAGGACCTTTGGGTAGCCCCTCCAGCCTCTTCTTCAGATGCTGGATGCGATCCTTACAATGCTGCTGGCTCTTCTTACCCGACAGTTTCCTAGAAAGTAAATATTTCATTCCCATTAACGTAATTCATACATACGGTTTCAATTAATGTTACACTATCCAAAATAAGGTAAAGAGATGAAAAGATTGGGGGCAGTTGCACTTCTGACCAATTCAGGGTAATGTTTCACACAATCATTGTACATTCTTTAACAAAAAATGGACAAAATGAGAATCAATTCTGCATGACTGCAAGAAAACTAAGATTATCGAGATTTATCATTCACGAATTTGGATCCTATATACTATTAAAGCTGTAAATTTGGTTAGCTAATGTAGGATATTGACCACGGTGCAACTTTCGCCGGAGTTTGTGTCCTAGAACCAGTCATCCGATATTCACTCTGTCGATATTTGCTCCGGGGTTTTAATTTCGTCAATTTTATATTTAGGGTCGGGTGTAAGTTGGCTTTTAGGTTAGGGTATGGTAAGGATCAGGGTTAGGGTTGAAGTAATATACCGTTTGTCCCAAGGTTGAAGTTGAGACTTCGGTTAGTGTAGGGTGATTAACGGTGGAAGCAATCGTCGCCATAGCATTATGTCGACCAAACCAAAAGAAAAAAAATGATGCATCCTTGCAGCATTGCAATAAGCTGTATAATATGACTGATCTGCCTTGCTTTCCCTAGGGTAATATATGTGGTCGTTTGAGGGTGAGTTTCTGTAAAGGTATTAAGAAATGTCCATCCTCCCGTAAATCTCCCTAAAATTTCCGCGAGGTTTGAGAAACTGGTGGGATAATGAACCTCAAATATAATTTATTCATCCTTATCTTCTTCCTTGAGTATCATCCACGTCCAGGATGATACCTCACCGCTATCTTGTTGATCGCTCTATGCATATTTTTGTTGCTATGGTTACCCTCGTCCGTATTGCTAATCCTCTCTCTGCATACACCACTCATTTAAACTGCATTTTAAAGCTGCTTTTTTTTTTTTAGTTCATTAATCCTCTGTGCATTTGAATGCATAAGATGCAAAAGCCAATATAAATCCTTTAGTTTACAAATATTTGCATTCTAAAATTCGATAGGCCCAAAATATATTTAACCGCCATTCTTTAAAAATCAAACATAAAGTAATGAAGTTACATCATGTGATATACTGCTTTTGGCTTTCATTTCTCACAAATCAAGACTCTGGACAACTAAATGAGTCAAAGTTTTACATATAACATTGATTAAAAACACCCTCCCAATCCCGTTCAATTCGATGCACCCCTGCCACCGACTTGTTAATTGCGACATAAACAATTATTGATGGCAACGTGGAATATATACAGCCGTCACTGATAAATGATGGACTGTTTATCTTCCTGTCTCTAGTGACATATATATTTTGCAATGTTTGCTTAATGAAAGTGTTTTCTTTTTCCATAAATATTGAGAAAATGCAGACAGTACGCCGCCACAAAACTATAGGGTACTATTACGTTTCTCGCTCCCATTTTCTCTCTCTCCCCCTCTCTCTCTCTCTCTCTCTCTCTCTCTTTCTCTCTTTCTATCTCCTCTATGTTCATGATATTAGTTGGCAATCGGTCTTTTCTCATTTATGAGCCCTCCATATTTCGGTCTCTCCTACTCTTCCTCCCTCTGCCACCCCCTTTTTCGTTTCTTCCTTTTTTTCTCTCCCTCTCCCTCTGTCCGAATGTTTCCCTGTCTCTACCTGTCTTCCATTCTCTCTATCCCCCTCTAGGAATGGTGTTATTGTAATTATATGGATTAATTATTATAATCCTCATCCCACCCCAAGTTTTTATGTATATTTCTCCTACAACAAAGACATCACCTACACGATTTATGCCAGCTGTTTAGTATACAATGGTTTAGGTATGAAATTACCATTCGTATTTGTGTATCATATGGGTGCGGGATGGATCGATATGTTGCAAGCAAACGATCGGAATGGGAGTGAAACCCGACAAATCAACACTTATGAGGGGATGAATAGGGAAAACAAAACACAATTGCAACAACTTTTTAAACAAAATCAACCTAGAGTTGCCGATTCTTCCTTCATTCTTATAATATCTTTTACCAGACAAAGAACAAAGATAACAGATAAATTAATACCTAGATATTCCTTACTCTATGTTTGCGATCTCTTCTTTGAAGACCTTTGTGTACTGTGCAGTCCTGGTGGTAAGGGCCCCTAGAACTCTTCTCGATTGTCCACTTCGCTTGTCCTCGGCATACAATTCGTCAGAATGGGTTCCTACTAGGACGAAGTTCCCGCCTGGAACCTGCGAACAGAAAGAATGATATCATCGATGAAAGATAATCACTGGTGATGTGTGAGTACTTCCAAGAGGCCATCGCCCATGCTGGCATGATAATTATCAAACATAAAATTAGGTGTTGAAGGTCTCACAATAATTTATGTGATAATATTCTACTTTTTCATCTACACGTAGACACAAACTAACGGTGAAGCTATCGACGCATATACACACGCACAGCGTGACACAGGCACACACACCTACAAAGACCTTTCCTTCACTTCCTACCTCGAAACTCTATCCCTCTCTCTTTCTTTCCGCCTAAAAGCATCACCCACCACAACGCGCGCACCCCCCCCCCACACCCTCGTAACAAGCACGCACACATTATTATTGTGCGGTTTCAACGACTGATCGTGCTTTTTAGACCAATTATCATTACATCTCCATAACATATAGCAAAAGATGCACTATTCCATTGCTTTTATAAACCCCAAAATTAGCACAACCTAGTACTTAATCATAATTCTAAATAACTAAAGTTACAAATTAATGCTTGATACTTTAAATACTAGAGATAAAACGTAGGCATATCCTTCAAATTAATCACGACAAAATGTCGCTTGATTTATATAGGATGAGTAACTTTTCCTGGAAGTGGCTCACGGTAAACGCCATCCTGTCAAAGTTATATGCCTTGTTAAACCTAACGTAAAAGGTCGTTTTAAGTCAGAAAGAGCTGTCGTCAAAAGAACAAAACGAGATTGTTTGTTCTAAGCGCCCTCCATATTTTGATAACGTCAATTCATGCGGTAAACGAAAAATCTATATAGAGGATGTGCGGTATACGCTCAATCAAATACCAGTTGATGCAAGTCTCTTTCAAAATACTAGAAATGGGTCAAAATCGACATTCGTTCAACATATAATTTATCTCCCGTTTATTTTCAAGCGCATGTCTCCAACACGAGTAGCGGAAAAATTCTTCTTCACGGCAATTGGTTAGCCATATTACGTTACGGCATTATTGGGGAGAATGACGCCCCGATCTTTGGGGCATGTTTAATATGGGGCTACGAATCAAGTAAATGCGAATCCGAATTCGGGGCTAGGGAGTCTGAACAAATAAGGAAGAGGACAAAAACATACAGCATGTGATTATCTGGGCACAAGGAGGACTTTGATAGTTTCCCATATTTACATTTAATTCATACACTTTCCGTTATTTATTTCCCCCAAGTTTCAATAGGTATTTCCATTTAATTCCATTCTCATATAATTCATTTTTGTTCACCTATCCCCTCACATCTACTTCAAAATCTCCTCAAGAGAGTCGGTCATTCTACATTGAAACTGGAGGGTTGTTTTTTGCTGGAGACCTGAGTTTTTAATGCCAAATCTCCCACGAGATCTCCACTTCATGAAGTCACTCTCAAACACAAACACCCCACTTGAAAGGAGAAAAAATCTTTCTGCATGGTACGCATTCATAGACAAGCGTTGCAAGTTTTTATCGATTTTAATAGTACAGCAGAGGGATATTAGAAATTTGTCTGTAATACACAGAATTACATTCACATGTAATTTTGTTGCTGTATTAAATTTTGTCCAACAAAGTTTTTCTTTAACATGAGGGTTTAATTATTTAATTAAAGTATTTGATTTGTTTATCATAGTCTAAACAGATCACCATTCGGTTATCTCTTTGTTATATTTGCTCCGCTCCTAAATATTATGTTAGGGATTATTTTGTTTGTCTCGTTTCATTTGTTTGTTTGTGGGGGGGGGGTTGTTCATTTGTTTGTCAGTGTTTTGGTTAAGTGAGGCAAATCGGATATAATTATAACTCACCCTGCTGTGTATGAAGTCAGCATACTGGACAACAGCATCACAGCTCTCAGAGTCGGCCAAGTTAAAGACGATGACGGGTAGAGTAGCAGGAGTAATGAACATGTGGAGACATCGCTGACATACCTGAACAAAGGAATAACAGCTGAGCAGATTTAGGCTCCGTTCACACATGTAAATTTCACCATTTATTACATTAAAAAAGAAGACAAGCCCCCTCCCCCTGGCGCAAGGGAGGGGGTGTTGGTTCGGCGCTAAATATTTTCTCATTAATTCGGAGGGGGAAAATGGTGCTCCTAACTCCTCCCCCCCCCCCCCCCCACCCCCACGCTTTTTCGCCGGCTGACTGACTCGCCGCGCTAAACATTTTCTCACGAATTGGGCACCCTATTTGGTCCTCTCCCTTGCGGCCAGCTGGATCCGCCCCTGAGTAAGGGCCTTTATAGCGTGCAGCTAAATAAATGCATTTATACGTAGAATGAATTTGTTTTTGTCGCTTTAGGTGTCTCTTTTTCTTTTCTATTTTTCAAGTGATTTATGTGAACGGGTCATTCAAAACGAACACAACGTGCCTGTACTCAACAATGTTGTTTGAATATTTGCGCATGTGCCTGAATGATGTCGTATGATTTTCGATGTTTTCTCCCAGATTTCTGAAACCTTATTGAAAAGTTCCGCACATTATTATGAATATCATCATACAGTCACGTAGGCTCTATGATACCGTGAGCAATAATAAGAGATCCCCGTATTCCCCTCTTTCTCTCTCTCTCTCTCTCTCTCTCTCTCTCTCTCTCTCTCTCTCTCTCTTCTCTCTCTCTCTCTCTCTCTCTCTTTCTCTCACTACCCCTTTCTCTTTTCTAGCCTCTCTATGATTGCAATTCCCTTTTCTTTCTAGTTCTACCTCTCTCCCCCTTTCTCTCTCTCTCCCGTTCTCTTTCCTCGCCTCTCTATAATTGCAATTCCTTTTTCTTTCTAGTTCTACCTCTCTCCCCCTATCTTTCTCTTTTTTTCTCTTTCTCTCTCCCTCCCTTTCTCTCTCTGTCTCTCTCTCTCTCTCTCTCTCTATGAATGCAATTCCTTTTTCTTTCTAGTTCTACCTCTAGCTCTCCCGTCTCTATTCCTCCCTCTCCCCATCTCGTTGTTTTGTTTCCTTTGTCCAGTTCTCGAAAAGGGCAAATCCATTTTATACTTCCGTTGCTCCGCCTGCCTCCCTATACCTTCTTTGCTTTTAATATCTCAGTTTGAATGATCAGTTCGGATGATACGGAGATGATGAAGTCGTCACATCACGTCGATCATTGTGTATCTTTAACTGAAAGGTCGTATACCTATACGCAACTCTACAGTAGATACTGCAAATTGATTCATAACATTCTTGACTCATATTCTAGTTATTAGAAAATTGAATGGTAGCCAAAAATGTATTTCAATAACAAAGTGTTGTATGCCGGTAGCCTTTTTGGGTGACCATGTGTATTTAAAGAGAAGGTTGAGTTCTGAGAAGAGGTGACAAATAATGTGTGAGCGTTATCGTTGTTATTATGCAAGTGTGGAAGAACATCAGAGAAAAAAAAATTCCCTAAAAAGCGTGGCACTTCAAATGTTTTCATATTCTAAATATGACAGGTAACAGCTTAAAAATGAGGCCCGATTTTTATGCCACATGTTTGTGTAGTCCCATATACATCTATCCGTGTACAGTACTTTACCAAGATTGGACCAAATTTCTTATCATTTTGATGACTCCAGAACCTTGCAGTACCATGATCAACTTTTTCTGATCAATTCCACACCGTTTCTTTCATAATGCAATCGCATGACCAGAACTCAACTTTATCTTTAACCTCAAATTTACGTGTTAAATGTTAAAAAACACTAAATAATCATCAGGCTCTGTGAAATCCAATATATCCGTATTTATGATTTCGCATAATGCATTTTGTTTACTGATGACCAACGCTGGTGAAAGTGAATTCAATGCAAGTTGCAACTGAAGCGTCATTCCGTAACGCAAGACTGCGTCGATAACTGGTAAGGTATTTGACGCGATATGTAAGTGTGAAATCATACAAAGAGTTACTGCAATGGAGACAAACTTCATAAATTTTGTTCTCTTACTTGAATAAGTACCTAATGCCTGTACTTGATTAGCGTAGTTAATGATACAATCAAAATTAACCTTCAAATGCAACAAAAACATTTATTTATTAAAGTGAAATCGACAATTTTTATTCTTTCTTACACACACACATACAATACAAATATACTTATCGCAGTAGGTTACAATGTTATCATTGGAACTGCATGAATTTAATATATACTCAATAAACCGTTTTGAAATGAAAAGCAACTGCAAAGTGAGTTATTGAGAATTCTTCAAATATACAAATAATCAATACACAATTACAAAAGGCGATGCCACTTGTGCGGCAGCCATGAACTGGAAAAGGAGAAACAGACTGGCTTTTAAGAGAGAAAACGCATACAATTTCCAGGCGTACTAATGACTGTAAATCATGGTGATGATGCCATGCCTCATCATGAGTGTGACATGACCTCGGAAATTCGAGAAATTGCACTCAGTTGCGAACATGGCTTGACAACTATACGGTTTAATTAGACCTGCCTATCGAGTATATCCGCTTCTCTCTTTTATTTATCGACCAAATTTTAAAGCAAACTGAAGTCGGCAGGGGAGTAAATATGCGACGACTGAGCAGGCGGTTGCTCGGTGAGCCTGAATGCCACAAAACGCCGTGATCTTCCATCGACTTCTATATATCAACTCTGAAATGTGGTGATAACAGAGAAAGCAAATAGAGATGTAGCAAATATTGGCAAGGAAACGGTGTTGTTTTCTTGATTAAAAGAGCACACGTATGAGTGAATGGTCCCAAATGACTCTGAGATGATTATAATACCCAGCTCTAGCTTCGAGACACATTCGTGTCTGTATGAATAAATTACTGCTATATTGGGCAAATTCCATACATGGGCATGTAAAGGTATTGTGATATCTCACAAATGGTAAATGTACACTAAATTGCTACATAATAATAATAATAATAATAATAATAATAATAGTTGGTTCTTGTATAGCGCTCATGTCAGTCAGATTTGACCCTCCGGGCGCTCCCGATTATTACCCTGGCTTTAGCACGGCTGCCATACGGCGCTCTATATTTTAAGGAATAAATTCCTATATAGGTACCCATTTACTTCACCTGGGTGGAGTGTGGCAAATGTAGATCAATGTCTTGCCAAAGGACATTAGTGCGGCGGCGGGACTCGAACCGCCGACCTTGTGATCGACAGTCCGGCGACGTATAATTTATTTGTAAATGAATGCCATGTTTGAAATCATATAAATAGTTAGTTTTCTAATTCATCGAGATTTAATTCCGGTATAAGTATCCTAAAGTGACGCAAAAGTGTCTCAATTTATTTTTTACTTTATCAGTCGACTTAATCTCTAATATCTTCTTCTTTTTTTCTTTATAATGGAATTATTCTTGGAATGATTTGTAATAATTTCTTTTGTTCACACATTTCTTACTTCTTTAATTCTTATTTTTTTTACATTAACATTTGTATACTCATGTAATAAATTTGCTTTAACGCTGGCAAAAATGAAAATTATTGTGAAACTTTAAAGTAAGTTGGTCAGAAGCAGATCTAACATGTTTTGGGTGAAAAGATTAGGAAGTAATCATCTATCATCATAAACATATATTTTACTCGCATCCAATGGAACGTATATGCTATCGTATCAGTATTTTAGAACTAAGCGATATGAATTAATTCTTGGGATAGTTTTTATAAACCTGAGGATATTTTTCATTTGTCTCCAATAGACAACCATTTTCATGTCATTACAATAATATCAATTTCTAGTGTTCCTTGGTTTTTCATAATTTTCTCTGATTTTCTACGTTTAGTGTTTCATCTTTCATCTTTTGCAAGGTGAAAATGACTTATTCGGCTGCATAATCTTTTAAACTGAGCGGGAAATATCTCTTCTATTTGGTCCACATTCAATTATACGTTGCCTGTGCCAATACTTCAATTTCACCCCCCAAAATGGATTCCCCTCTCTCCAGCTACGTGGTATCTCTACATGATGGGAATACCCCCAATGCACAAGATCCCAACATCATGAAGATGTCAGCGTCTCGAAATTTGAGTAGAAGAATGCAGACGGTCTCTAATCTTCTTCTCAACTTTGCCTAGCGGTCGGTAACTTCACACTGAACGGCATTACATCAGCCACGGCGCCCAGTCTGTTTGTAAGGAAATGAAGCGAAGGAGAACTTGGCCCATATCATTGTCATGGCAACGGTCTTGATGGTAGGAGGGGATGCCGTCCACATATTTTGTGCTTTACTCTGTGGTATTTGATAACTTCAGGGCCTCGTCTTATGACAGAGTTGCGATTGATCCGAATCCATTGCACGTCCTCCAATCAAAGTCAAATGAGAAGTTATCAGTCTCCTCTCTCTTATGTACATAGTTGCGACTGATATCAATAGCAAATGAGTTGCGATTATTCGCATTTCTTCATCAATCGCAACTATGTACCTAAGAGATAGGAGACTGCATACTTGCGATTGATTGGAGGACTTACGATTGATTTGGATCAATTGCAACTCTTTGTAAGACGTGACCATGATCTAAAGAATTCATTCCAAATTAATTTCACAGTAAACATTTTGTTTGAAATACCCGTTGCACTCGAAACGTCATTTCCATGCGTCATTGCGTGCGCTAATCTAGCTCATGAAGGCACTCGGCCCATGCCAATGAGTAATTCAGAGCAGTTTTATACTGTTCGTGTTGCATTCATTTTGGCGCACCGTGTGAATATCACATGATGCGCAGACTTGTGCTTGTACCGCTCTAGTATCTTGACGCAGTCCTACGTTAAAAAATGACGTCGTGTGTGCAGCATGCAGGGGCTGCATGGCTGCACACGAAGCGTCAATGATCAATTTGCCCTCATCGGTTTGTATAGATCTCCGGTTTTCATCGCAGTTCAATTCAGTCATTATTTGCATTCAAAATACTTATAATTTTGGGGGAAAAAAACATAATAAACAAGATGGCATTATCAACCGAACAAGAATTCAAAGCACACAAACACAAATTATAATAATCAGGAGTCAACAAAACAGGTATAATAAAGCAAATCAGAAACATATGTTGGAAAGGATGTCTATGAATAAGACCCCATCTTTTTTTTTTCCAAGACTGAGCTCTTCAAAGAATATTATTGGTTGTTATTGATGGAATCATACTAAAAACACCTGCATGTTATAAAAATCAAAAGGAAAAAAGTGGAAAACTACGCAGAATTACAAATAATATCGATGTACTCAACCCTATAAGTTCTTGACGGAAGTATATATATATGGACACACACACATACAGTACTTCCGCTAGTACTCTCTCTCTCTCTCTCCCTCTCCTTTTCTCTCTTTCTTTCTTACTAACTCTTCTTCACTCCCCCAATCTAATCCCGTGTACTTCACTCGACTCACGTCATTTTTATGACAGAGGTTTTTTATTTATGGCATTCAAAATTATGCGCACGTCACTAAGCTGCTATAATTTGTTTTCTATGATTTTACAGGAGAATAGGTAAAAACACTAAAAACCTAATTTACCATTAGACGTTTCAATTTGTGATCATTGTATTTACAGAGCTCCATTTTTTAATGAGAAACGATGAAGGCTTCAACCTTACGATTTCATTGAAATGTTTTATAAGTGCACCAGCTTTTTAATGATAAAACATGAAAGTAGATAAGTGTACATCAATTTATTTTTAAGTGGTTGGGAAATTGCACTCAAGGATGTGTTTAGGGAGAACAGATTATCCTTTAATACAGATTATACTTTCCCTTTAAATACAAAGACACGATTGCCTCTTTTCTGTTTCTGTTTGCTGAGTGCGTTTCGATACTAAAAACACATGTACCTTGCAAATGCCTTGAATACCTAAACATTTTTTTGTTCATTCGTCGTTTGTCTTCATCTTGATGTTCCAGATATTTTGAATGAATATTTCGCTTTAGCTTCGAAGATGACTGTCTGAGTAAATAAAAAGAGGCAGACGACGTTAACATTTGATTCAGGGAAAGAAGCTTCAAAGGGAGAAACATGAAACACGATTTGATTTCCTACATCATCATGACAGCTTTTGTAGCATGTTTATTTACCTCCCATGTTTCAAAAGAGGATGTGTGTTAATTATCTTTTGAAGATGGTTGGGAAGGAAAGCAGGGGCATGTCGACCTAGCTTCATTCCTTGAGAAATATTGCCAAACGTAAGAACTTAATACGCAGGGTATTCGAATTTTAGTTTTATACCCAAATCTTCAAAAGATAGGCCAATAAACCATTCCAGTGGTATTCAAAATTCCTGCTAAAATCAGTTTCTAACTTTAAGGATACATATTTGTGTTAATGAGTACCGCTAGGGAATATTAGAAACCATGTACATCTCTATCAAGCTCTCTAAATAGCATAATGGCCATTGTAATGAAAGCCATATCATCCCTATTATCATGTAATGAGAGGGGCAATTAAATGGAAACACGCCACATGGATGAAATGGCGTATTTTTGCCCTCATCCACTAATAATACTTACAAGCCGAAAGTCATGGCTGTTGGTTTACAAAAGTGATTGGAAATACTGCTCTATGGTACGGTATTAGTACAAAAATAAATTCTAGGTAAAGCCACATTTTACTCTTAGCAGGATACATTATGTACGGTACCTGACGAATCAAATAAAAAAAAACTAATCAAAATTAACGAAAAAGGAAAAAAAATAATTTATAAATAAAATAGAATGGAGAGAGATTCAGAAGAATGGTCGGCTTTATTAAGTATCGACTTAACAACCAATACCGCATTTATAAATAAACGATGCATTTCGTTGGTAATTATACATCTTGTTTATACATCCAGCACAGTGGATTATAGTAGCTGCGCTATAATTATAATAAATTAAGTAATTACAACTATTATTATTGTTGTTTACCGGATACTATGCAAGCATCGTTTATGAAACCACAAATTCATATTTGCGATATATGCTAAAATTAGTGCTATGGAAAAAGGTTCACATCCATTTTTTTCTCAAATAGATGGCTACAAATATCTTTATATGATAATGAACGCTTTTACATATCGCCATTCTTAAATGCAACGCCATATCGCCATATAATATTATATGAATGCTTTTACATATCGCCATATCACCACACCTTTGTTGACACTATACATTCTACATTCTCCGTTGTAGTGAATAATCGATCGCATCGTCTCGCATGACGTCATCCATGTTTATTCTTGCAAAACTAATATATTTCCTATAACCAACGGCAGGCGATTCTACACATCTCCAGTCTATTAGGGTTTTGTTTTCAGCTTACAGTGTCAACAGAATTGAGATAGTAAATTACTTTCGACAGATTCACGCGCTGTAAAAGATGAAAATAGTAGACGGCGTTTCCATTATATAAAAACAATTGATTTGCTGTAGTAGAAGAGTTATTCAAAACGAATTGTATTAAAACGGACTATACAAGGAGAACGTGATTTCTGAGAAACAAGAAGAACGCATGCATAAGGCAGAGTCAGTGTATTTCTTTTGTGATAATAGAAAACAATGTAAACCATATGTTTGCATCGATAAAGAAGACCAAGTTATAGCTATGGAAATACTGGTTTTCACAACAAAATGAGTGACAATCTGCTATTGAATCAAAACAACATTGTAGGCCTTTAAAACCAGGGAAATACTGTTCCTAGAAATGTAAAGAGGCACGTGAATAATATTTATTGTTCAATTTCATCTGATAGCAGTGTGCTCGTACTATTTATTAGAGAGAGAGAGAGAGAGAGAGAGAGAGAGAGAGAGAGAGAGAGAGTGATGAATATTCTAAACATTCATCTCTCTTACCGCAACAATCCCAATAAAAGGGATTCGATAACATAAGGTTTAGTCGTAGCCTTCTGGGGATTTTGTTGCTAGGATCGCTAATGCCATTAAGCAAAACCATAAAACCTTCGTAATAAATTTAGTGTTAACGACCTTTCAGGATGATGAAAAGCTGTACCATTTCAAAATGAAAAATGCTCTTGAACCCGTTATTCATATATATTACTTCATCAAAGTACTTTTTTAACTGTCGAAATCATTGACATAAACATGTTTGGGCCTGCCAGCACAAATTAAAATAGTGGTATTATATTTTAATCAATTCTTTTTCTAAAAACACTTCCCATTATAAATTTGTGTTTCACTGATGACAACTTAAAGCTTATCTGCCATAGTTTACAGGAGGGATTAGAGCGCCCTGCAAGGTCATTGGACAGGTGGTTATCTCATCAACTCAGCTCTCAGTTAACATAAGAAAAAGAGGATCATGGGGGACCAATGGTCACCGATTAGGCATTGTTTGTTATATAGAGGGCGCAAGTAGCTACAAGTAGTGCAGTGGGCCTTTAAACATTCACAACTTTCCTACTTTTAATCGGATATTGCTCAAACGTTCGCTGCTTTGTTTCTCTTATTCTCACTAGCTTTATTAACACCAGGATTACCAGGTCATTATCAGGGTGGACCATCCCTTTAAATGCTTAAACGTTAAAACATTCAGAAATACAAGAGAATATGATAGTAACAACTTTTAAATGATTGTCAAACTATATATTTGAGAACTGAATCGTGCAACTAAAGGTTCTTCTTTTTTCCTCCTGTAACAAGATAGTAATTACCCTGGGCAATTTCATTAGCCAAGTCCGTCATCTTTTGAAATGTGCAATGTCTTATTACGTAATCCCAACATAATTTCTATGGGACATACAAAGGATTATTGAAATTGCCCCTGATTTTATTATTATTTATTTCATTATTTTTTTCTTCTTCCTGCAATCGTGTTTTACATTAAAATTGGTTACTTTGAGCACGGACCCTCCATGCTTTGAAGAACATTGGGAAGTACGCTCATAAAGAAGTTCAAAGTCGTAAAATAGAGGAGAAAGATGATAATTAAGTCTTACCGGTCGTCCAGACAGATCCCAGATTTCCACTGCTAGACTTCTCTCACCAGCCGTCAGTTTGTGGTTAAACAAGGAATCTGCATTTGATATTTAGATCAAATTTAAAAAATACATGTATTTACACACACATAGAGAAAAAAATAAAAAAATTATGTTCGAAGCTCATAATAGGTAAGAAAGTAAAAACGAGTTATCCCTTGGACGAATGCCCATGTCAGTTTATGTGAATGTTATTTTCTTCATCGAGACATTGGGCAAGGCCGAGTGATTATGTCATTTGATACGATTTAGAGCGTTCCAAACCTTAAAATATACACTTGTTCTCATTTGCTACACGATCAATCATTATATATATTTAGTTAGTTTCAAAATTCAATCCTATAACCAGAGATCTATATAATGCTTGAGCTTAGGTCTATATTATATTCAAAAGTGTTACTTTTAGTTAAATTATCACCCAGAGCATTCCAACGTGATCACTCCTAAATTTATTTCCTCTCCCTCATGAACTGGGATATGACTTTTTGTCAACCGTCTATCATGATCTCTTTGATTCGACATAACAGACACATTTTCTTCATGTCCAGACACCTCATGCGTTTTGAAATGCTCAATTGAAATAAAAAATTTCAAAGCGGCATCTATTTTCATCCAAGACATTTCCCCTGCTCCAGACAATCTAACGTCACGTATGGCACAAATTGTCCTTTTCTGTATTTCTTAATTAAATCTTGTGAGAGATGTACTGCTTTTTTCGCATTGCCTCGTAACTTGTTTACATGAGATAGCATGCCAAGACATGAGTACACGGGAAGTTTGTTCCTCAACTTTATTACTTTAGGTTTCACATGAAAAATTTCCCTACGAATCAAGACCAACTCAATATTTTTGCAAGTCATTTTGCTTGCAGACTACGAAACAAACTACACAGGAATGTTGCAAAAAGGTGCTGTTGCTTTGCTATGAATGGTCTTCCTCTTGGTTCAAATTCCACTTTATTCAGCGGGTTAGGGGTAATTGAACATATAATATATAGATCTTAGAAGTTATCAAATACAGCATTGAATCGTAATTTTCTGTTCTTAGTTGAGATATTCCGACAGGTAAATAGCGCTCCTTGAAACTTGAGGACGAATAATGAGAATGATTCTGAAGAGAAAAAAAGATTTGACCCGTATCCTAATAAACCATTCTGGGTTCATCAAAGCAGCAATATAGGCATAGAGAGGTTATTACCGCTATAAAATAATTCTACCACTTTCATTACCAGTTCTTCCTCCTCGTTTTTCCCCTCTTTTTTTTCTTCTTCTCTTCCTCTTTTCCTTATTCTTCTTCTTCTTCCTCTCTTCCTCCTCCTCTTCCTTCTTCGTCTTATTCTTCTTCTTCTTTTCCTCCTTTTCCTCCTTCTTTTTCAACTTCTTACTCGTTGCGTTTATTCCTTTCCCGAGTTTACCTTTAGCCTCTTTTTTGTGTGAATGTATTCATTCGAGACTATCATGAAGAGGACTCGGCATATACTGCTGCAAGAGAGCCGAGAAAAATACTCCACAATGAAACCGATATTGAATAGAATAAACCTCCTTATGAGTCACACTTAAAGCAAGCGTCTATCTCCCGTATTTCATTGTTATCTGGCGTCTGAAATGAGCCATGAGTAGCATTTCGCTGAGCTATATCTCAACATTCCTAAAAAACGGTGATTTCATATCTACGCACGATAAACCATTACACACTGTACACACAAGCGGACAAACAAAGCACTCAATCATTCAAGAGTTGATTGCAATACCTCCCCCTGTTATTTTTAAGTAAATAGAAAATTACATTTGATTTCGGAATCTCACAAAACCGCTGAATTTTCGTGAGTAAACGTTACATTGATGGCCAGATAAGTATGTTGCAAAATAATAATTATAACCACTCCAGATTATAATCTTTGGAGATGCATTTGTCAATTTAATGTGATTTTTTAAACTTATCGATGTCCGATAGGTATTGAAGATTGATTGTGTTAACGATCTCTTTTGTTATGTACTTTTGTTTTAAGTTTACATTGCTTGCTCCCTCAAAGACTTTTTTTTATCATCGTTGCTTCATAGTGACTTTCATAACATATTTATGGTAGGAGCATAAACGTTGAGCAAATAATCATTTAAATTTTATTTGATAAACTTATTTGTTTATCGTTATCAAGTTGACTTATAGTCTGAGGAGTAGACCATGCATTTGTTCATGTTTAAGTAAATAAAATCAATATATATTATTCCAAGTTACACATATAATATTTGAGTTAACCTACCGTTCTTAGTTCCCCTGAAAGGCCACCAGCATGTCACGTCCAGTCCATCAGTAGGTGCGCCTGCTTTCTCAGCTACCCCTGAGCAGATGGATTTGACAAAGCTGGTCTTCCCGCCGCCACTAGGTCCAAACACCATCAACCGAAGCCTGAAGCCAAGGCTCCTCTCACAGAAGTATTCCACCAAGCCATCGACTTCCCGTTCGATGATCTCTTGTGGAGGTGAGCTCAGCTCTTTGCACATATGGACCTGGAAGTTCTTGAGTCTGCCGAGGCTGAGGATAGTACTGGGCACGCATGTCAGACCAGTCTGACTGAAGTTGAGCCGTTCGAGTTGGAAGCAACCTTCCGACAGCGCCTTCAAGGCCTCGTCGGTGATCTGGATGCAGTGCTCGACGCTGATAGATTCAAGCGAGTGACAGAAGCGAGCGAGGCTTCGGATCCCAGCGTCTGTCACCCGAATGCAGTTACCTACTTCCAATGCCAGGAGATCTCGTCGCTTCTCCGCCAGATAGGCAAGCCCTTTATCCGAAATACTAGTCCTGTTGAGGGCAATATGCTTCAGTTTGGTGCAAGTACCTGCCAAGGCGTAAAGTCCATCATCGCTTATGCCTTCACAGGCGCTGAAATCCACATTGTTCAAACTATCACTATATTGTTTGCTTAAACTTCGAAGTCCATTATCGGTGAGGCGTGTGAAGCGTACAAAACTGATCACCTCCAAAGGAGCCTTGCAGTGTTTGGTCAAGGCATCTAACGCAGAATCCACTAACTTCCATTCCACGCCATCTGCCCGTGTAAAGGTCACCGACTTCAGACTCTTACAGTTGGTTCCCAGTAGCTCTAAGGCAGAGCGATCAAGACGGGGGCACGAGTCGAACCGTACATACTCTAAATCATGGCATCGCTCTGATAAGATCGCCACAGCGTTGTTTGTAAAATCTGGTATGCAGACGACACACAGGCTTCTTAATCGCGGGTTGAGTATCGCCACTAACTCACGAATCGCATCCTCATTCACGCATGCGCATTGGTCGAATTGGACGCTCTGAAGAGAATCCTTCGTCTTGAGTGTTGCCTAATGATAAATCAAAAAAATAATAATTATGAGGCAATACGACAAACAGAACTCATTAGTATGGTGAAGTGTTCTGTCACGGTGAAATCTTGAATGAACTACTATTCACAGGTTGATTTTAAAGCGACATCTAACAGAATATCAAAATAATACGTATATGGACCTTTCACTTTGTTATAAAGGTAATGATCATTATCATTATGTATGTATGTGTGTGATGGGGTGTTTGTGATCATTATGAGATAGTATGAACACATGAAGAAGAAAGATGAAGATGAACTGATTAGGTGGGTGGTAGAGAAAAGGGAAAAGAAAGGGAAAAGAAAGCTGATCCATGGAAGAGGTGGATAAATTGTGTATCTTATAATTGTTAACACCTTTGCGTGTTCGTGTTGATAAGTTAGAGATTCTTGTAAAGTATGAGGCAAGATTAACAATATGTTATTTAAACTACTATTCCAATGTCGGCATAGTTGTTACAATCCCCTCTTTGCATGACCGACATAATATTACCGTTATGATATTACTGTTAACATCCCTTTGTATATATAGTATTATTCTAGTTGTAAACTGACCCCTTCAGCCTGTGATCCTCGTCAGTTCGTATGCACTGATAAGTAATAGTAAATAATGATGAAGATGATAATGATTATAATAGTATTATGAATAATAATAGGGATAACGATAAAAGTGACTACTACAACAATGATTATATTAATAATAATGATAATTATTATTATTATAATAGAGATAACAATAATTATTTAAAAAAAGATAATAATGATGCCAACAACCATATTTATTTTGAACACCCTGACGTATTATGTC